TCTACCTGAGTAAAATGCACATCCAAGATCATCTCATTAACCCATTCGCAATGCCAGTAACTCATGTATTTCCATTTAATAAATAGCTCTCGCTCTCTGCGATTTGGGAGTTCTTTGAGAGGCTTTAGAGCAATTTTTCGATCGCCTTCTTGCGCTTCAAATTCCTGAAAATTTGAAAAATAATATGTAGGGAACGAAAAAAAAAAGAAAAAAGCAGGAAACGCGAGGCTTTGCGCCAGGTTAACCACATAAGAGAGCCTCGACTGTAGCAACTATGAAAAGTTTACTAAGTGCATCAACGGCATAATTGGGGGTACCGGTGGAGCGACTGAAGTACTTTGAAGCACACTTTTATGCATTTTGCAAAAAAAGTAGCTGGCAATTTTCTAGTCTGAAACACATGGAATTGCTGATCTACAGATTACCAACCCAAGAACTAAAGCGTCACGAATCCAAAAATTTCTTCCATAGCTAATGAAAATCGCTCGCCGCCACACACAGCTGACAACTTCTCACAAGATGCTCCCTTCGCTAAAACAATTAAATTCAAAAAAAGACAAAACTCACCTTCAATTCTTCTTCAGTCATTGGTGGCGGATAAGCGACTTCGGTCCAACGCCATGAAAGACACTTCTCCGGGCGATTTTTTGGTTCCGGACATAAGCAACGTGGACAAGACCAGTCTCCTTCTGGGACTTCGGTAAGTGGCGGATTTATGCAATAGGCATGAAACGAACTCGGACAGGTATCACAGCACAATAACCAGCCCCCTTCCTGCAAAATGCACAGTTATTTGTACTTGCAAATCCCCCAAAAGCAGCCCTATTTTGTCAAAAATTTCGAAGAAACGCTGTCAATCTGACCTTACAAATTCGACAAAATTCCATGTTTGTGGTGACTTTCTTCTCCTCCTCTTCCTCCTTCACAATGCCCGCGGCCTCACACGTTGGACAAGACCATCGGCCTTCCGGTGGTTCCTCCATGTCCGGGTCCAGACAGACCAAGTGATATGCTTTAGGACACGTGTCGCACAGTATAATCTCGCCTCCTTGCTGGCACACTTCACAGTAGTCTTGATGATCGGTCTGCAAAACGATAAGGTAATGAGTTCCCGCTTCAAAATAACTGCAGTTCTCGTTAATGGACAAAAAAGGGAAAAATTTGAGCAAAATTACCTCATATCCATCCTCCCCCTTTTTCTTTTTGCCCTTTTTCTTGGCCGCACGCGCGCGTGCTGCTCGGCGCTCTTCCTTCTCCCGCTCTTCCTCATCCAACTGCTTTTCATGCTCTTTCAGCAGGTGCTCGAACTCTTGGTCACTGTCCTCTGTAAAACATAAGGTTTAAAAGCAAATTTCCTCTGGACTCACATTTTTCGCTTTAAAAACAATTCACGGCTTCCGCCTTTTGAGAGTATTTCTCCGAAAATTGCAGTTTACATGCGCTAATTCCTTCCCCCACCCTTCCCTTCTCCTCGAAATATCTAAATGAAAGGGGCAGAGCTA